ACGCCGCCTGTGTGACCCAGACAGCCACTTGACCTGAGCCTCAGTTCCCATTGTTCACAAAGTGAAGAGAATTGAATTCATAGCACAGGGTGGTCATGAAGAGGCCTGGCCTCTGGTGTGCCTACCTAATGCCAGCTAATCCTAACCCTAACCCTAACCCTAACCCTAACCCTAACCCTAACCCTAACCCTAACCCTAACCCTAATCTTTCTTTGCTCTCTCATCTTCCTGCCCTCCTAAGGGCAGTGGGTTCTTACTCCATTGTTGGAAGTTTGTCATACCTATTCTACCCAAACTTCTACCAGCAACCGTCCACGAGCTTGCCTTCCTGTTTCCTTCTGTATCTGGGGCCCAGGGCGGGGAGTCCATCCTAGAACTGCTCTTTGTCTGCCCTGGAGCCTCCCCAGCCAGAAAAGCCTGGGCTCATGCAGCCCCTCAGCCACTCACCCCATTCTGTCCCTTGAGGGACGTACTTTTTAGAGGAAAGACAGATAAGAAACAAACCAAGAAATATATGACTTCGAGGAGTGAGAAGTGTTATGAAGAGACATAAAGTACAGCGAGTGATTCCTGGGAGTCAGGGTGGACGAGGAATGGGAGTCTTAGCTAAGGTGGTCAGGGAGGACCTCTCCGAGGAGGTGGCATTGGAGTGAGGGCCCGGGTCAAGTCATGGAGCAGCCATGTGAAAACCGTGGAGTGAGAGCAGGGGAGCGCATTCTAGGCAGTGGGCACAGCAAGTGCAAAGGCCCAGGGGCCAGAACAGCTGGATGAGCCTGAGAGACAGAAAGAAGGTCGGTGTAATGTGGCTTAGAGCAGCTAAACAGACATAAAATGAGGGCCACATATGTAACTGAACATTTCCTATAGCTACGTCCCCAAACTGAAAAGAACAAATGAGATTAATTTTCGTATCCTATTTTATTAAACCCAATGTAGCCTAAGGTATAATCAATAAAAAAATATATTAAGGGGCTATTTTACATTCTTTTTTCATACTAAATCTTTAAAATCTGATGTGTATTTTATACTTATAGCACATCTTAATTTGGACCAATTGCACTTGTTCAATAAACTTATGTAGCTAACAGCTGCTGTATGGGACTGGGTAGTTTAAAGGATTAGATAACATGTATTCATTCATTTGTTGATAAACAACAACAACAAGAATTATAATACTGAGCTCCCGGTCTCCCTGAGGCCTTTCAAATGCATGGAGTGGCTGATCTTCCTCCCCTTCCTTGCCTTCCTCGCCCTCGCAAGCTGTTGCCTCCCAGGCCAGAGTAATAATGAACTGGCCCCTAACGTCTTAGTAACTCTGCAAAATAGGTGTGAATTCCCATTTTACAGATGAGAAAGCGGAGGCCCAGAGCAGTCAAGTTGCTTCCCAGGGCTGCACAGCGGGATGCAGCAGAGGCGACGTCAGCGTCCGTGTCTCCTGACCATCTGTTGTCGAGTCAGTGACCATAAGGGCTGAATTGAGCCTGTGGAATTTGTCTCTGAGCCCTGGCGGGCCTCCCTTCCCTGGCTTTATGCGGCTAATCCCCGGCCTGGGAGAGAGGGACATGTTTACGCAGCCAGTGCTGACTATGTGGATTGCACAGCTATTCCTCCTGGGAGACTGCTGCCCTGAACCCCCTCTTCATCCAGAGGCAGCTCCTGGGGAAGTGTGGCTGAAACCCTTCTGTCCCCAAAGCTTTCTGGAATCATGAAAGGTGGCAGCTGGCCTCCAAGTTAGTGCTTGGCTATGAGGCCTTGGGCGGCCTCTTCACTTCTGTTTTTTCTGATGGGGATCCTGCCGGACCCCTTCTCTGGGATGATGAGAGGACCAGGTGAGGCAAGGGGAGTGAACTCCCTTTAAGAAGTATCCTGGGGGAAGGTCTGAGGGAGACCTGCCGAGCCTACAGGGGCCTAAGGAAAGGGGGCAGGTATGTGTAGTTTTACAGGTGAAATGCGGGGGTGAGAAGTGCAGATGGTGGAACCGGGCCAGCTCTAATGCAAGCAGGAGAAGCTCAAACAACATGGTCTAGCATCTTGCTACTCCTACTGTGGTCCACAGACCAGTGGTACCAGCCTCACCCGGGAGCTCGTTGGAAATGCAGAATCTGGGTCCGCATCCTAGACTTGCTGGCTTGGAAACTGAATTTTACCAAGATCCCAACTGCTTCCTGTGCATGTTAGAGTTTTCAAAGTGCTGCTCTTATGGAATCAGTGTCAGACAGAGTTTCAGCTCTGCCACTTACCTACTGGGGGGACCTTAATTAATGTCGTTACGCCTCTCACACAAAGCCAAAACTGTGTGCTAACATTGTGCTTCTCTGAATGCTTCCAACAACTCCATGAGGTAGGTTCTGTCTTTATTTCCCATTTTACAGATGGGGAAACTGAGGCTCAGAGAGGTGAAATACTGGCTGAGTATCTCACGGCTGGTAGCCAGCAGAGCCAGGACTGTTTGACTGTATGTTTAGTTTGTGACTCCCCAGGGCAGGACCCTTCCGCATGCATCCAGGCTCCCCAAGTCCCCTCCCTACCCCCCACTGCCCTGCTCTCCTTCCTCCCCACCGTGATGGGGTCTGACTCTCTCTTCCTGTTACAGATCATCATCTTTGAGCAGGAGAACTTCCAAGGCCACTCACATGAGCTGAACGGGCCCTGCCCCAACCTGAAGGAGACGGGTGTGGAGAAGGCAGGCTCCGTCCTGGTGCAGGCTGGACCGTATGTACTGGGGCGCCCTCACCTGGTCAGGGGCTTCCAGGGTGAGGCAGCTGGGCTGTGAAGCTGGAAAGATCTGCCCTCACTGTGCTCTTAGACGGTGCTACTGGGGGCGGGGGGGCAGGATTTGGGGCCTGGCAGCCTATCAAGAGACTATGTGCCTTAGAGTCAGATAGAGCTAGGTTCAAATCCCGGCTCCTCCACTGCTGGACTATGTAACTTTCCTCTCTGAGCCTCAGTTCCCTCTTCTGTAGGAGAAGGGCAACCATGTCCTGAAGGTGAAGAGACAGAGTTCATGTGAAAAGCATGACACTGCGGTCAGCCACTTCCTTGAGGCAGGGATGTGGTTATGGTGACTCTCATGGGCCTTTTCAGAACTGCCCATCTCTGGCTCTAGGAGTGTCCTCTCTCCTGGGAAGTTTAAAACTAGGTGTCTCAACTCTGCATCCACCCCTCCCTCCCCAAATCCTGACCAGACTCGGTCTTAGCGAGTCATCTATGCATCTGGGGCCCCTGACCCAAGAGAGAAGGGGCAGTGATTGACAGGATGTGATTCTGCATTGCTCATGTCGTGTAGCTGAGCATAGCCGGTGGAGGCTTCTCTTTGCGGTTCCCTGACCACTCTTTCTCCAGAAGAGACTCAGGGATCAGGAGTGGCTACCGGTCACCCCCATCCAATAAGTCAGTGAGTCTGGTGCGGCTGGGGGTCCTGGGTGACCTGCACCACATCTCAAGGTTCTCAAGGAATTTTGCAGCCTTCAGTGACCCTACTCGAACCCATGTCTGCTGACGAGGAGAGCGTGGCGGAGGAATGGCCCTGCCGAGGTGCTCCTGTGACACGCTCGGGGCATCTGCTGGGCCTGAGGGGGCACCTTCCAGGACAACTGAAGTTCGGTCATTTAAGTGCTGCATCTGATTTCCAGTTGTCTTTTCTCAGTATTTGCATGGGAGAATTTTTCAAATGGATTTTACACTCCTCTGCTTTCTTTTTAAAAATATAACTTTTGATTTTTAAAAATCTATTATTGTTTATTATTTAAAATGAATAATGTCGTTTATTATTTAAAATGGTTTAGGGAAGAAAATCATGACTTACAACTCAGAAGTAACCATTGTTAAGATTTTGATAGAAATCTAGATTTTTCTTTGTATATTTGTATAAAATGATCTGATTTTGATTAAATATAGTTAATACATATTTAATCAAGATCAGATCATGCTATACATACTGTTTTGTAATTCATTTTGAAAACTTGACAAGATTTCTCAAATTCTCTGCATGTCATTAAGTAATATTTTATGTCAGTGTTTTTTGGACAGGTTATTACTTTTTTTTAGGTAAATCTGCATCAGAATCATAGAAGGCAGATTCTTGGAGCCCTTCCCAGTCTCATTAAATCAAACTCTTGGTTCTGGAGCCTAGGAATCTGCATTTCAAAAACTCATCTGGTGATATTTTTGCCAAGTTTGAGAACTCGTGTCCCACTCATTATTTTTCAGAGCTTTGTGACCTTCCATGATGGGATGTGCCGTAATTTACTTAAACGGGCCCTGACTGTTAGATTTTTGAAGTTGTTTAGATTATTTGACATTTTAAATAACACCACGATGAACATCCTTAGTCACATATCAGTGAGCTCCTGACGACTGTTTTTTAAGGACACATAGTCTAAAGCAGAATTGCCAGATCAAGGGTGCGTCCTCTTCTAAAAGCAGCAAGGAACATGATCTCCCCATTAACGACTTCGATTATTGTTCCGAACAGCCATTATGGCATCAGGCTGCAATGTTCACCCTGGCTCTGGATGACACCCCAAATGCTAAGCATTTTGAAGTCTGTGCTTTCTTTTGTCTATTTTCCCCTTTCCTCTATTAGCCATGCCCACCCAGAAGGCCGTTCTTCCCTTTAAGGTACTATTTCTCTTCTGTGGATCTAAGAGTCTGTTAGAATATGTTTGTGTAGCATACGAGTCAAGAGACGGCCATCAAGAACAAAAGAGGAAGTAGATCTAAAGAGAAGGGTTGGTATGAGTAAGGTACCTGATCCTTTAGATGCAGAGGTGTTCTGGATCCAGTTCTTCCAGGGATGAAGGCTGATTGGACACATCCCTTCCCAACTCTGTGTTTAGTGATGTCACTCTGATAGCTTGAAGTCAGCCGTGGTGGGAGCATTTACACCATGGAAATTGGCAAATGCTACAATCAGAGTTTTGTTTTCATTTTTGAGAGCTGGTTGTTAATTCCAGCTACCATTCATTGCCTTAGTACATGGGCTCTATACATCTGTATTTATTGCCAGGCCATCCTTTCCATTTCCTTCTTATTTCCTGATTGTGTTCCAGATGGTTGAAGTCAGCATAGCACTGGGTTCTGGATAACTGAAGAGACCCTGCTCTTGGATTTGCCGTGCTGGGATATAGATGGGGCTATTACCACTTGATGAGCTGGGCGAATATGAGCCTCTCTCCCTCTCTCTCTCTCTCTCTCTGTCTCCACTGCAGCTGGGTGGGCTATGAACAAGCCAACTGCAAGGGTGAGCAGTTTGTGTTCGAGAAGGGTGAGTACCCCCGCTGGGACTCATGGACCAGCAGTCGGAGGACAGACTCCCTCAGCTCCCTGAGGCCCATCAAAGTGGTGAGCCTCCTGCCCCTTGTTCTTCTTCCTCTCTTTGCCACCTTGAAGCTAGGAATCTAGGGACCAGGAAGAAATCTTTACCTCTGGTAGTGTGCCCCTTCTGATGGGCAGGGGACTTCCTGGCTGTGTGATCTTGCGAAAGTCGCTTCATCTCCCTGAGCCTCAGTTTTCTCCTCTGTAAAATGAGGATATGCATATCTACTATCCTGAGATTCCACCATGCTTAGCCTGAGAGCTGCCACATTGCATAATCCCAGGGGGCTCCATCCACAAGACTCGAAATGCTCCAGGGGGTACTGTTTACGATTTATTCTATGTAGATGGGTTGTGTAACTGCTTTCCAGGGTTGTGTAACTGCTGTCACAGAGTACTTGCTCAGTAAGTGACAGCCACCATAAATATTAAAAGAAATTCTGGGACAGTTTTGTTTTTGTTTTTGAGAGCTGGTTGTTAATTCCAGCATACCATTGTCTTAGTACATGGGACTGAGTATAGAGGAGAAGGCAGTTTAGCTGTTGTTTCTAATTCAAGTCACTGTGACCTTTCGGTCCTTCTCTGATCCTGATTCTCATCGGCATGCGAATTCTTGGGGTGGGCATAGAGCTCAGCAACACTCGGTCGCACCCCCGAACCGTCTCAGCCCAGCCTAGTTCTCCCCAGAGCTTGATGGAAGATGAGAGAACATTAAACTTAGCCTTCCACGGTCCTGGGTTCCTACATTGGCTCTGGCACTCTCAGCTGTGTGACCTTGGGCAAGTCACTTTACCTCTCTGAGCCTCAGTTTCTAAATAGCATGAATAGTTTAAAGAGCTAAAGGAGTTAACTAAGAAAAATGTAGCAGGAATAGGAAGATGGGAAGAGATGTGGAGATCAAAGAAAGCCAAAATATCTCAAGTGTCTACTAGAGGCACCCTAAGCCCCCACTCATCTGTGTGTGTGTGTGTGTGTAGATCATTGCTATTATTTATTTTAAAAAGGAAGTTGAGGCTGTAGGAGGGAAAATGACATTTCATAATCAAATATTCTACAAAGTGTGGAATCTGGAGTGTCCTTACTTAAAAATAGTGCAATAGGATCTCACCAAATGGCTGCTGTTCGATGGCAGTTGTCACAGGCACTCACGTGGTGGGGGTATTGGCCAGAGGGCCATAGGTGGAGCTAACGATCCCAAGTCCAGGGCATGAGGAAGGGTGGGAAAGCTCACCCTGGACCCCCTCTCCTGCGCTCACTTTCCTCCACTCCCTGTCATCAGGACAGCCAAGAGCACAAGATCATCCTCTATGAGAACCCCAACTTCACGGGGAAGAAGATGGAAATCATAGATGATGACGTGCCCAGCTTCCATGCCCATGGCTACCAGGAGAAGGTGTCATCCGTGCGTGTGCAGAGTGGCACGTGAGTGAGACCCCTCCCTGGCTTGTCCTGCCCCAGGGTCCTAAATCCTGTGCTGCCCTCGACTCTGGTGATCCTGTACACTCCTGACCTCGGTCTTCTCAGTGGAAAATGGGTGTGGAAATCGTGAGCCCACATGTGGTAGCTTTCAACCCCTGAGGTTCCGTCCAGACCTGCCTATTGGGCCATACCCTACCTTTGGAGGAGAGAGACTTTGGCCATAATTTCCACCCCAAAGAGCAGGACAGGAAATGTGGGTGAGGGGTATACGGTGAGGCAGAGATGGGGGTCGCAGAAGCATGGGAATGAGTTGAGTGGTTTTAACAGAGCTGTGAGAGGCAAGAAGTCCAGCCCACGCTGGCCTTTTACTGCATGAGTTCCTGAGTCTGGAAAAAGGAGACATCATTTCCCACCAAATTATGTGCCTAAACTTCTTAGGCACATGAACCTTGGCCATCAACATCGGGGAATTTCTCACCGTGAAAAATTTGAATGTCGTAGGAGTCTGCAGATGGGCTTTGGGCAGTGGGGTGCTGGAGCCGGCTTGCACCAGCTTGCAAGAGCCGACTCCTAAATTTTCAGAATTTTTGTGAGCTGGTGGTTGAATTATTGGTAGCTTGAAATCAGCCATCGTGGGAGTATTGACACCATAGAGATTGGAAAATGCTACAAATAAAGACTTTGTTCCCCCGAGGAGCTGGTTTGACAACACAAACTGGCTTTCTGGGGGTTGTCAGATTCCTAAGATAATGTGCAAAGTTCCATGTTCATAGTCCCCTCACTTATTCATTCATTCATTGATCCAATTTGTCGAGTGCCACCATGTGCCAGGCACTATGCTAGGTGCTCAGTATGTCAAGATAGATTAAAGAGACCTGGCTTCCGCCTCATGTAACTAAAGTCTAGCTGGGGGCAACTGTTAATAATTTAAGAATCTATACAAATCTAGACTCCTTCCCTGAGGAAGGTACTCTTGACCTGAGATCTCAAGAAAGAGTAGGGATTTCAGGGGTCAAGAGGAGAACGAAGGGCATCCCAGAGGGAGAAGAGGCTAGTGAGAGTCAGGGACTCTGCAGAGGCTGATGGAGCCAGAGTGTGCCAGGATGTGGGGGCCTGAGACCAAGAAGCAGAGCTGCGGTGTCCACAAGGGCTGGCCAGGCAGGTCTCTGTGGGCTCGGGCTGTGTGCTGTTATCTGGGGAGGAGACTGTGACTTTCCTCAGGTACTCAAAAGAGTGAGTAACCTCCAAAAGGGTGATGACTTCAGATGTTGAAGGGAATATAGAATGCCCCTGGGACCTCGCCCACTTGCCTTGAGCCTTGCAGCCAGGCTTGGGGCTGGGATAAGAAGCCTCTCTTATTCTAAGCTTAAGTGAGCTTAAGATCACCCCTTCCTCTGCATTCAGCATCAGGCCTTCAGTTAAAAGTTGTTTCAGTTAAAAGTTGCTTCTCCCCATCAAGAGAAGGAATAAAGGAGAGGCTTGATCCTAGATGGGTTGTGTTGTTCCTGATAAACACTCAGGAATTGTGAAATGATCGGGAGGTTCCACCCTTCCTAATGGCTGAAGAATTCTCTCTCTCTCTCTCTCTCTCTCTCTCTCTCTCTCTCTCTCTTTCTCTCTCTCTCCTTTTTATCTGTTTCTCCATGTCCCCTCTTCTCACCTCTGAAACTGCAGATGGGTTGGCTACCAGTACCCTGGCTACCGCGGGCTGCAGTACCTGCTGGAGAAGGGAGATTACAAGGACAGCAGTGACTTTGGGGCCCCTCATCCCCAGGTGCAGTCTGTGCGTCGCATCCGTGACATGCAGTGGCACCAACGGGGCGCCTTCCACCCCTCTAACTAGTGCCCTCCCCATTTCCTCCTTCCCAGGGACCTGGTCCACTGCCCAGGATCCCCCAGACCTCTTGGCGAGTGAATAAAGTGTGAATTGCAACTGGTCTGCTGCAGTGTCTTTTATCGCCAGTGGGAGCTGAGGTGCTGCATGTGTGCGTGTGCGTGTGCGTGTGCGTGTGCGTGTGTGTGTGTGTGTGTGTGTGTGTGTGTGAAAGACAGACAGACAGAGAGAAAGAGACAGAGAGAAAGATAAAGAGAGAAAGAGAGATAGAAAGAGAGAGAGAAATAACCAGAAAGTGTCTGGGCGAGGGGTAGGACAGACGGGTCCTCACTGAGTCTTATGGTTCTGCAGCTACTTAGCTGTGTGGCTTTGGGCATATAGTCCTCTCTGAGCCTCTGTTTCTTCACCTGACTCAACAACTCCTATGCTGCCTGAGCGGCCTGCTTGGCTGACCGCCTGGGCTCCCTCTTATGTGGCTGCTGAGCATGATTGCTCTCAGGGGTATGTGATAGTTGGCCCAGCCCTCATAAAATATACACACTGCCTGCCATTCCTTCATGATTGACTCATCACCTTGAACCTGGGAGTTTCCTTAGATCTGCCTGCCAGAGGAGCCAATAACTGTAATCCGTACTCCACCCCAGAGACAGGTCCCACGTCCAAATGGATTCAAATGGCTGTTCTGGAGCCCTGACCAGTGATGGGGCCTCAGGCAAGTCATTCGATTTCTCAGAGCCTCCTTGTTTCCACTTAGCAAAAGAGGGGAGAAAATAATGCCTCCCTAACAGGGGACAGTGAGGATGAAATGAGATACCCAGGCGTTCTCTATGCAAATGTTAGTCATTGATTGGTTATCCATAGTGTAAATATCCACTCCCAGTGTGTGGCTTCTTTTCATTTTGTTTTTGGTTTCTTTTGATGTACTAGTTTGAAATTTTGTTGTGGTCTAATGTCAATCTATTCCTTATGGTTTGTACTTTCCGTGTCTTCTTTAAGAAATTCTTCCTCACCCCAGGTCACAAATGTAGTCTCCAATATTTTTTTCTTAAAAGTTTTAAAGTTTAGCTTTTCATATTTAAATTCTCAGTCTTTCTGGAGTTGATTTTTGTGTATAACCATATGACAGGGATCTAATTTCTTTTCTGATTTCTTTTTTTCCACTTTGGACCACGAATAATTTATTGAGAAGTTCATCTCCCCAACTGTGGTGCAATGTGACCTCTGCCACCTATCAGGTTGACACATACTCCTAGAATCTATTTATGGGCTCTTTTTTTTTTTCTGTTCCTTTAGTCTATTTGTGTGTCTCTGTACTCTTACTGCATTGGGTTAATAATCATTGCTTTATAATAAATTGCAAAGTGCTCTAAATTATGCTTCTTCAGAAATATTTTAGGTATCCTTACCCCGGTATACTCTCGTGTAAAATCATCCTCTCAAATTTGGAAAAATGAAAAACTGTTGAATGAGCTCAAACGGTTAAAATAATTACCATGGAGGTAGGAACTAATTATTGCTTAATAAATGTTCCATCTTCTATTCTTCGGCAAACACTTAACTGAATGCCTATTCGGTTCCTAGAACTGGGCAGAGTAGGGAATATGAAGTGAGTAAGATAGAGCTTCCCACCCTCAGAAGCTCTTACTCTGGGGAGATTGTAATAGCTTGAGAGTAGAACCGCAGTGATTATTACGGGTCAAATTGTGTCCCCTCCTCCAAATTCATAAGTTGCAGTCCTAACCTTGAGTTCCTCACAATGTAATCTTATTTAGGAATAGGGTCTTTGTTGATGTGATTAGTTTCAGTTCATACTGGAGCAGGATGGGCCCATAACTCAATGACCGGTGTCCTTACAAAAAGGGGAAATTTGGAGACAGACATGCTCACAGAAAGAATGTCATGTGAAGATGCAGTCAGAGATCGGGGCAATGTAGCACCAAAGATTGCCAAGACACCATCAGAAACTAGGATCTTGAAACACATGCTCCCTCATGTGCCCCCAGAAGGAGCCAACCCTGCAGACACCTTCACCTTGAACTGCTAGCACACAGAACTGTAGGAGAATAAATTTCTGTTATTCATGCCACTCTGTTTGGGGCACGTTGTAAGGTCAGCCCTAGGACACTAATAGGGTGGTGGAAAGAGGAAGGGGTCGGGGACACCAAGAGAAGGCAGGAGTTACTGCCTGGGATATTAGTAGACTTCTTAAAGACGTGGGGATGTTGAAGGAAGAGTTGGCATTTTCCAGGTGAATCTTGGGGTGGAACAATACTGGCAAACGGAACAGTGTGCAAAATGAGAGAAGGGAGAGCATGGTATGTTCCAAGTACAGAGAGAACTTTAGGGCACGGAAACCTCAGAGAGTTGGCTAAGCACAAGGTCCTGAGACAGTAGGTCCCCCCCGACCTCCGCCCACTCTACTCCTCTCAGCGTGGACAGTTTCCCTTTCTCTCAGGTCTCCTCAGGACATGCCCTGCCCCTCTTTCCCGCCCTGCAGGAGTCACTCCCCTCTCCAGCCACCAGGTGTCAGCAAAGCGTCATCCTCAGGGCTTCCGGCCCCGGGTGGCAGGGCATCTACCCGCCTCACAGGCAGTTAAAGGAGGCTTAGAGAACCAGCTGGGTCCAGACTCCGGTCTCAGTGAACTATTGATAGTGCAGGGAGAAGCTTGCTGGGAGGGGAAACAGACAACCAACCCAGCGACGATTCTTTGCAGGAGGAAATCACTTCGTCACCCGCTGTCACTGAAGCAACTAGCAAAGCCTCATGCTCCCACTCACCCTTATCACAGAGCAGCCTCTCTGTGCCTCAGTTTCCCCTGGGGGAAACCCTAGTGCCTCTTCATAGGGTTGCAGAATGTGTGAAGTCTTTAAGGCAGTGCCAGACGCACAGTGGGGACTCAATAAACCAACACAATATGACAAGGGGTGAGGGGAGGCTGTGAGATTTGTGGGGTGGAGTCAGAGAAGACTCCTGGGGCTTTAAAGTGGGGTTTTGTAGGAGGCGTAGGAGTTTGCCAGGTACACAAGCATGGAAGTGCTTTCTACACATTCATTCACTAATCCGCTCATTCACTCCCATCTTCTCCCTCCCGCCTCTCTGTTCTCCTTCCCCTGTGCCTTTCTCTTCCTCTTTCCTCTCCCTTCCTCTCCTCTTCCTTAGTGCTCTGACTTCTTCTCCACTCCACGTGTTTCTTCATCCCAAACATTCTCCCCTTGCTCTTCCTTCTTTCCTTCCTCTCCCTCTCCTCACTGTCAAGTCCCTGCGGGGGTTTCGATCCCAGATGAAACAACTCAGCCAGCCTATAGCCCCACCCCAGCCCCACTCCCTGCAGCCTGGTGCCGGGAAGGGAAGCACAGCGGGAACAGGTGGGCTCGTTAAGGTGTCCGGACCACCGCCTCCACTCCCACATTCGCTGCACCATTATTTACAATATAAGAAAGACGTACAAATGGCCTGAATGCCCATCGGCAGATGAATGGATAAAGAAAATGTGTATCCGTACAATGACATATTCCTCAGCCTTGAGAAGGAAATCCTACCATTTGCTACACCATGGATAAACTTGGAAGACGTTATGCTAGATAAATAAACTTAGCTCCTCTTTTAGTTGGAGTAGTCCTTGGTGTTATAAATCCCCAAGATATGTCTGCTTGCCCCGGGATAGTGGTTCTTGGCCAGCAGCAGCAGCATCACTTGGGAACTTGATACAAATGCGTATTCTCACTGTGGACCTACTGAGTCATAATCTTCCCCCCGGGGGGGCGGGGGGCAGTCAGTGATCTGTGTTGAACCAATGCAAGCCCAAATTTGAGAAAAGCTGCTTTAAGTTTTTGTATTTCTTTAGATAGTTTGCCTTCTTGCCTCTTTCTTTTTAAAATAGGCAGATGATGTTTATTCTCAGGGACCAATGTACGATTAATGCTTTATTGTATGAAGTTGTTATCCATCTTCCATTAAAGAAGACAAAAACTTGTGGATTGGGTATAAATCTCCTCTCTATATTAATCTAGAAATGAAGAAAGATCAGCCAAATGGCTCACACTGCCAGTTTCCAAGGTAGCAGTTACTGCCCAAAATATTGGTCTAAATATTGATCTGAATCCTTCTTTTCTTTCGGACACTGAGTGGACACTTTATATTCATCACTATCACTCCGACTCACTCCATCTTCATATAGTATGTCCCCTCATCAGACTCTCCCATGAACCGCTTACCTCCTTTGCAGATGTCATTGTAATTATGCACAATTTGTTTGGTCCTCCTTCTCAACTGGACTGTAAACTTCATGAGAACAGGGACCCTGTCTCCAGCATATCTGCACAATCCCTGGCACAGGTCACTTGCTGGATGCATACATGAATGACCCTCCTCCCTCAAAGAAGCCTTCCCTGAACCCCTCCTCCTCCAGCTCACATAGCCCCTATAACAGGAAAGACACTTATTGAAACTGCTGTCTGGACTCGATGGCCCTACAGGTGGGACCATGGCTTCAATGATTCCTGTTTCCTCATTGATGGCCCTACAGGGGGACCATGGCTTCATTGATTCCTGTTTCCTCAGTGCCCCACACATGGCAGACCCACAGCTCGTGCTGATCCCTCCATCTTCCGAAACCAACGCTTTGTTCAGGCTCCAGTGGAAATGCTCCCTCCTCCTTGAATTGGTGACCCTCCCCCATTGGTCCTTTCCAAAGCAGCAACTCTGGAATCTGTCACAGGGTGAGATGTAAATCTTGACTCGTCATAGC